CCCAAAACCCCAAAACCCCAAAACCCCAAAACCCCAAAACCCCTGATCATGGAGTAAGTGTTGAAGACTGTTTTAATATTTTCTTTCGTTTAAAGTAGGGATTTCCTTCATGAACCTGTACTTCCTTTTATATATTGAGGATTTCTGCGAAGGGATAGAATCGCCAGGGCTCCCTAGCATTCTATGCAGGTGAGATGAAGAGCTGATTTCGTATCCTACAGTAGTGGAAGACTGGTCGCACTGCCGGAGCTCAAGGTTCCGAGGCCCTATAGCAGACTTGTTGTTTAGTTTCCTCGTCTTTTTACACATAGAAGAGGTCTTTAAGGGGCTTATTTGTTTAGCCTTCTCTACAACCTCGCCAATGTAGTTTTCGTCAGTTGACATCAAGGATTCACTGTCGAATTCAGGTGAACTCTCGAAGGACTTATTACAGTTAGTATCTTCTTCGTCAAGGATTTTGTCATACTTGCATGCCTATGGTATTTAATACACTAATTACTGATATTATACATGGCTGGAAATCAGTGTTTGCCTCTAGGTTTTCTTCTGAAAATCATTCTAGCTTGGCTTTTAGGACTGTGTTGTACCTCATAACCTCCCTCAACTTCTCATCTTTCCTCTCCATGCTCTTTTTCACTATAACTCTCATTTACACCACTTACATGCCCCTACTTCCCTATTAGCCTTCTCTAATTCCCTAATTCTCTGCTCTAATCCCTTCTCTTTATTTTTCAGAATCGCTATTACTTTCTGGTCATTTTTAGCCGTTTTCTCATAAGCATCGACTTTTAGCTTTAGTTTCAGGTCTTCGTCGCTAGAAGCCGTGCTGAAGAATTTTGAGGTTTTGAGGTGTTTTAGGCGAGATAGAAGGGATTTCATGCAGGCTATATCTCCAGTCCGAAAGTCCTTTGACTGGTACTCTTCGAGGTTATACTGGGCTTTCAGGATTGGGAGGATCTCCAGTAGCAGCTTTGTGAGGAGCTCTGTTTCTTTCTTGTATCCCTGCATCTATAGTTGTGAGGTAAGGAGTTACCTGTTCTAGATTCTTCTCAAGACAAGTGTTTTCCCTTTTGAGGATTCTTCAACGTTCATGTAAAGATGGTTCTTTTGAAGGTGTACTTGAGCTTATCTAAAAATTATATAAGACTGTTAAGAATTCCAAAAAATTATTTTGAGATGATTTACCTCTAATTTACTCTTGCTACATTGGAGGCTGTACAAAGTGTTACTTCTGTTCTTTGCTTGTGAGAGGATCTTCGCTGATTTTACTATTGACATAAACTGATAGGACTTACCTGCAAGCTTGGTACCAATACTTCCCGACTTCTTATTACGGAGATCTTCTCGAGATTTGCTCGATTTACTTGGTTTGAAGGATGATTTTAACGGATATTTTGTACTTTTCATAGCACCAGGAGTTTTATTTTTAGATACATAACTAAAAGATCATTGATGCTTCCTTCCGTTTTTAGTAGCCAAGCCTTCAGGAGTAATCGAGCGCATGGACAAGATCTTGGTCCTGCTCAGGGTATCGCTTTTTCCCAAGCTAGTCAACTTTGTCCCAGCTAGAGCCTTCTTAGATCCACGGAGGTACTCACTGCTCATGATGCGTTTTGTTGCTTTATACGACTTCATTGGCACTTTATTTATTATTTAAATTAATTCAATTATTCGCATTTAAAATGGGGTTTTGGGGTTTTGGGGTTTTGGGGTTTTGGGG